TTACGAGGAAATCGAAATGAGAAAGAATAGAAACCAAGAAAAGGGGGTGTTGCTATTCCAAACTAATGAGAACGCAAAAAAGTCAATAAAGCTTCTTAACAAAAAAAGAAGCATAATTGCGTACGCTCTATTGTAACGCTAATAAAAAGTTGTTAATTAAACAATCTTCAAAATATTAAATTTGGAAATTTCCGTACTTCCACATTGTTTTCAGTGATCGATTGATTAATCTAGCTTCCTTCTTAAAAATACGCCTAGTAATAAGTGATCAATTTTTCTATCTACGGTGATAGGTATTGAATAAATCTTATTTACACTATAGATAAATATGTTTTAAATAAAATTAATTTGATCAAAATCAAAGAAATACGAACCAATCAGTTTTATAAACAAGCATTATTTTCCACCTTCGGTAGCAACGACAGTGAAGTCGGCGGGGTAGCCTAAATTCTGCAAGACCAAAGCAACGACTCCGGTCACCGACTGCCATGACGGCGCTTGGCGAAAGGTGCTAGCGTCGTCTGGAGGACGCAGGGGCGGCCACTGACAAACAGCGACTCCAAGAGGAAAATTATCAAGGGAACGTTTAGCTACACATTACACAGCTAATCCTCATCTGGGGCCCGTGGGAATCGTCTGTCATAGCTGGAGTGGAACCACATCCCCTGAATAAGCGGTAACCATTGTACGGTTTGCGCAATGTCGTGTAGGCTCTTTTTTATAGTATCGCACTGCAAGCCAGCGGATTGTACTTTGGTATTCTGAATGTGAATGGACTGTCGAGAACACGATATCAGCTGAGGCGCTTGGTGCTAGAATATTTACGCACAAGTGGTGGTATTTCGAAAATCAGCGAGGTGCAGAAGAAACAATAGGCACATCAGTGTGTACCGCAAAGTGCGACTAGGAGGTCGGGGGTGTCCGTTTATTTTTTAAGACTTCCGTTACCATCACGGTAGAAGTAACGGTAGATTCACACGGTGCATCTTCGTGGCGAGTCTAGTGCCACCAAACCAGGTTTCGGGAAACAGATGCACCATTTGAATGAGACCGGAAGATACGCGCTGATCCGGAAAAAGATGGGCGCGCTCCTCGCTCATGAAGCGAGATTTTGCTGAAACTTCACCGAGGCCGGTGGATCACCCGAAGGAGAAACACGGACGCTGCCACGGGCCGTTCGATAATGTTGTGACGTCGGATCATCGAGGTGAAGCGAGCTTTTGAAGGAACCTGGTCTTTGGCCAATCCCGTAACCGAGCCAAAGCCAAAAAAAGAAAACAAACAACCTGGTGAGCGACGAGCAAAAAGCGGCGTGTATACGGGCATTATCGGATTAAAATACGGGTTGGAAGCGCGGTGCAGGTTCCTCAACAGTCACGACGAACGGAAGCACCGCATATTGTGACGGACGGGGGAGTTGGTAAATGAATTTAAAACGACACGTTTCATGAGGCAAACTTGTGCCTACAAATGTAAAACGAAAATACCACACACATCTCGTGTCGGACACTGAACGGCGACTGTCCCGGCGCTGCCAGTCTAAGCTTCGTCTATACGTAGTGCGTAATCTAGAACATTCTGCAGAGGAGCGAGCGATACGTTAAAAGATTTTACGAGAACGTTTCTGGAAAAGCTGCCAAAGATAAAATAAAGGACTGCGCTGGTGGGGATCGAATCCCGTGCCTTCGTGTGGGTTCCGCGCGTGATGCCAACTTGGCCATGCCATCGGCAATGTGAACATAATGACTGGGAATTACCAGTCATTTGGCGGAGTAAAACAATCCGACATACTTCGAGGTGATCCTCCTGTTGTTTGAAATTTGCGATCTTCAAATATTTGAAGTTCGCGGCACTCGGCCCTGACGTCGCGCCGCCGAGGTGGCGCTACTATCGGCAGTACGCGTGCGCAAGGACGCTACACTTGACGCGAATCTTTCGTCTGCGCAGGCGCAGTGCCCACTCCTCGCGCGGGAACTGCATGTTTGTTCACACCTTGTTCGGGCTTGTTCGTAAACTGCGCGTTGGCCTATTAGCCCCGAGAAGTTCACGTGGCGTTCCTCACGGCGAACCGGGGTGACGTCACGGCAAGGAGAGAATTTTTGTCCGATTCGCCCCGCTCGCCCTGTGGAGGCTGTGACGACGCTAGCTGTCGGCGCGCTCGTTTCTATTTAATTATTTGTTGTGTGCGTTTTGCGTAGGAAGTGTAATGAATGAATTGGCAGGTTATGTATACTATTTTTTTTTGTATCTCTGTTTTTAAACAAGATCGCCGAAGCAGAAAAGCTGCATGTTGCGCGAGCAACATATCAAATACAGTCTGGGCCATGGGGAGAGAATCACAAGTAAGACAGCCCAAGTGCAGGGGCAAAGTAAAAAAACAAGGAACATTAATTATATACATTTCTCGCATTTCACTTTTGCTGGATTCGGATAGTATTTCAATAAGGGTGGTATCTGTGGACTTGTTTATATCAACCCTCAAGTAATGTATAACAGACGTAAGTGAAGGTGTCTAGCTCGTTATTAGTGTCTTAAGCCCTAAAATTGAGATTTTACTTAAATCGAATTGTCCTGAAGCTAAAATACCAGAAGCTTTTGTCACGCAGACTGTTGCCCTTCGTAGGTTCTACATTTTCTGCTACTGGTGCTGCATCTACCATTGGACAGACCTTGGAATGCTTGCTTTTACTCCTGTTTTCCTCTGCTGTCAGAGAGTCCAGCTGTAGGGAGTTTGGAGGCTGAGGAAGCTTTTGGGGAACTGCACAGTGTCTCTTTTAATTGGAAATGACAATTCAGACTAAACGGTGTATTTTCCGAATACCCAAGGCTGGAATGAAGAATGTCAGGAAAAAGTGTAAACATTCCAAATTACGGCACTATTGCTGCGCATATTTTGGGAAGTTCAATACTTATCATACAGGCAACTGGGGGCAATTCGGCCGTTTTTGCTGCAACCATACAAGCTAATTTCCAGCAATTGTGCTTCTTCTAAGAAATATGCCTGCATACGTGTATAAACTATACAACCAATTAACGAAGAAGTTACATTTATTTAAAACAACCCTGTTCCACGAGCACTTCCAAGATCATCAGACGCAGGGCCTTTAAAACATCTGCGAACCAGCGCATGCAGAGTGGCAGCGCACAGTCGGGGTCGCGAGCTAATTTGCCGACCACTTAAAGGCCCATGATATCAATGCCACCTCAAATGCCTTGAAAGCGGGATTTAATATCGTCCTAAATCATGAACATGCAAGGAACGGAATTCCAGCGGCTGAAACACTTGCGCCACCGCTTCACCGACCCCTCGCATGATTGCCTTGTGTCGTGTGGACGGACGGGGAGGCTCATCGGCGGATTTGCCTTCGCAGATAGCTTTCGGTATTTGTAACCCAAATTTAAAGGTAAAAGGAACATGCAGGCTTATAAAATGTACTGAAGCACGTCAATATCGGCCTAACTCAACGTCTTGCACACCGGGTAAACGAAGTCCAGCTCCTCGAAGCGCTCGCGGCACGCAACGCCAAACCAGGAAACCGGTGCTGTGAAGCGAGCCGATGCGAGATCGCGGAGCGGAGTCCTCTTCCTGACGTCACAATACGCCTCACCCAATCAGGGCGCGGCGACCGCAGCGACGCTTGCGTTCGCTCTCGGGGCTAATAGTAAACCGAGTGAGCCATATCGGTCGAGTTCATTGCGCGAAATTATCAAAGCAGACTGTCTCTCCACATTGTGCATACCGCATATAATTTGCTGCGAAACGCCTAATATTCCCAAGTGAGATGACAAGATTTGGTGAAATTCTCGCCAATCAATTCGTCAAGTTACCGCGCGTCAACCGTTGAAAATATTCACCGTGTGCATAAACCTTAACTTCTGAAAAAGGTGCTTGACTTTTTTTCTTTCTCTGGGTGTGATTTTTGTAGTTTATAACGGATGTCTTGTGTGATGATCATATACCATTCAGTCTATGAACGACGGGCGTTCGTTGAGAGTATTGTTGTTGTTGTTTTTAATGAGATCTAATGTTGATTGTGATTTTTGATTTTAAACTAACCTTACGCACATGAAAACATGACGCCTTAATGAAGGTGGAGGGACGGCAGCGGCGGTGTATGGAATGACCTAGCAGAGGACCACGATCATGAGGACTTGGCGCATTGTGATACAGCCGCGAAAGGAGGGCTTTCATTTGTAAGAAAATATGATTGCGCTTTATGACAAAGACAGAGAAAAAACAGACACCACAAAGCGCTAGCGCTAGCGCTCTGTGGTGTCTGTTTTTGCTCTGTTCTTGTCTTAAAGCGCAGTCATTTTTCTCACCTGCAATAACAACTCGCCCAACAATCAGCGCTTGATTTTCATTCATTTTCAACGGAGCAGCCACACGCAAGTAGGCAGGGCGTACGCTTTAATCGATCTTCCACTTCTGTGTGAAGCCTACAAGATCAATAAGTCACCACTGCCTTCAGTTACCACTGCCTGGTGGGTTTAGAGCTAAAGGAAAAAAAGGGGGAAAAAGGAAACCCCGGTTTAATTGGGAGAAAGGAAAATTTAACATTAACCTCCGTGAGGAAGATGCTTCTATGAAAGGTTAAAAAAGACAGAAAATTGAGGAACGTTTGAATATCGTACAATAAGCCACAAATGGGGATCGGTAAGACATGTTAGTGAAATGTGTTAAAAAGATCCAGTAAATTTAAGTACGTAGAAATGAAAGGAGAAAAATTGCTGCGGAAAAATCTTAAGAGGTTGGTTATAAGTATGCAAACCCTCAGTGTTATTCGTAGAAACATAAAGATATAGTAAAAATAACTAGAGTTTTTTGCTGTTGTTCTTTTTTTTTTTTTGACAGAGTGCTATAAATGTGTAATTGCACTTTCACCCGCAGAAGACAGATATCTCAAATCACGACTGAATACATGCAGCCTTTTTTTACAGCACGTATCTCAAACGCAAATTGCTCGAATTCTCCTTGGAATTTTTCTGCTTTGTTACAGTATCTTCAAACACACCAAAAGGATACGGATTTGGTTTTTTACACTGTAAAACGCTCCTATGCGAGCAATCTCCTAGCTACTCAAGGTAAAACTGAAACTTGCATCAAGGCTACAATAATATCTGCCAACGAAAGTGCTGCACAACTGTGTACGACATTTAAGACGGTTGGCGAAAATTCTGAGTAAGTATTTTACAACTCCTGAAATCGCAAACAACACGTGGGTTTATTTCCCAGTTGAAGAAACAATAAGGTAAAATATCACTTTCAGTAATTTTTCTGACAATTCGAGACACTTTCATCTTGTCAAAACGGTTATCTTTGTAGTCCTCGAAAGTGGAAAAGCAGGGGAACAAACCAGAAAGTAAATTTCTTTACTGCTCCACTATATAAAGCAAATTCAGGTAAACATGCGGAGAATCCCACGTAAAAAGGTTCTTTCTTTTAATACATTGTGCGGTTTTACGTAGGTCAAGAAGTCGACTGCGCAGGGATACCTCGTTGTACTGAACCAGCCGTTAACATATTTCTGCTTGTGTAGTGTCTTTCTTTTTGTACCGCTTCAGAGTTTCTACAAAATATCAGCACAATGTTACTGTTTTTGACGTCCAAGAAAGGTTAGTAATAAAAGAGTGTACATCGAAAAATCCGGAGTCAGGGTGTGAGAAGGCTTGTGCGAAAATACATTAGAAAGAGCGCTTTGCATACATTTTTATATACCATGTTTAAATAAATTTTAAGAAAAACGAGAATTATGTATTTAACCAAGCTCCCGATAAATTCGACATCAAAGTAAACGCATCATTCCCCCCACTCCAAAAAAAAAAGGAATTGGTACAGCGAAAAAAAATGAAAGCCGTTTTCAACTCCTTGTAATGCCAAATTAGAGCGCAGCTCTTGCGGAGGAGGAGGGGAGGGGTACGGATGCTAGGGTATGCCTCTCCTCCCCATCCTCCCCTCCCCTCCTGGTCTTCGGCTCCACTCGCATTTAGCGGGAAAAAATCCCCACTAAAGTTAGCAAAAATATTTTCCCGCTAAGTTCAGCGGAAAAAAATTTCTGCTAAATTTGGCGGAAAATTTTTCCGCTAAATTTAATGGGGACGTTTTTCCCCTAAAATTAGCGGGAAAATTTTTCTGCTAAGTTTAGCGGCGAATTTTTTCTGCTAAATTTATCCGGGAAAATTTGTCTGCTAAATTTAGCGGCGACTTTTTTTCGCTAAATTTAGTTGGGAGGTTTTCCCGCTAAATTTAGCGGATAAATTTTTCCGTTAAATTTAGCGGGGAATTGTTTCCGCTAAATCTAGCGGGAACATTCTCCCGCCAAATTAAGTAGGGGAATTTTTCCGTGAAATTTAGCGGGACATGTTTTGAGCTAAACTTAGAGAGAAAATTTTCCCCTGAATTTAGCGGTGAAATTTTTCCGCTATATATAGGGGAATTTTCGCCCTAAATTTGGAGTGGAATTTTTCCGCTAAATTTAGGGCGGAATATTTCTACTAATTGTAGCCGGAAATTTTTCCGCTAAATTTAGCGGAAACATTTACTCCTCCTCCTCCCTCGTGACGTCGCATGTGACGTCATTATGGAAAACATCCCATAATGCAACGCGCGGTTAAGCCGACGCTGGCGGCAACGCCGCTGAAGCCCGAAACGAACGCTTAAAAGCTACGCTCTAAAAAAAACGCATCGCTGAACATTTGCTTTTGTGCCAAAATCAAGAACAGTTCCACCAAAATACCTTTGAAGTATCAGAGAAAACCGTTGCCTTATTGAAAAGTTATAAGTGGTTTTTTAACGTCTTATTCAGGAAACTGTACCCGTCCCTGTAGCTGGCGCTATTAGTCTTCATGTATTTCTAGTTTAATCTTTGAAAACTATTTAATCATAAACCGACCAGCTCTGAAACTTTGGCATACGTACGGTCCGGACAACTACTGTTATATTTGGGCAGAGACATCTTCGGCGACGTGAAGTTTATTTTCGCGATGACAGGAACACGAAAGCGTTTCCGGGGATTGTACACAGAAAAAAAAATGCCGACTCCCTGATATTACTCGGCTATTGAAGTGCGGAATGTCAAGTTAAGTCAGAGGTCATAGAACAGCTGGGTAGCACGCCAGAAGAGTAGTCGCTAGGCGAAATTCAAAGATCGCACAAGAGCTTGGTTGCACAGGTTGTGACACGTCACCAGTTTAGTCCTTAGCGTTATCAGGGACGTCGGAGGTGTGATGACGCTGGCGATCGAAAAGGCAGTGCATTTGTTTTCCCGAATATCCAAGTAGGCATTTTCAAGGTCTTCTCTGAGGCACCCGGGGATACCTTGAAGAAAACATTATTAATTCTACTATTTACCAAATTAATAAAAGAAAACCTTATTTTCTTAGTGTGCCTCGAAAGAAATCAAAATGGATTTATTTCTAGAGGTCGCGCAGAGTAAATTAATAAAAATATAATCCCGAATGAAGTATTTGTATGAACAGCTTCTATAAATGTATGGTGATTCATGTTTTTTTGTTGTTTTTTTTTTAATATGACGAGCCTTTATAGTTAACAGATGCTTCAGTCTTCTATAACAAATTGTTTTGGAGTTCTAGACAATGAGTGAATAGAGTTTTAGTGCTGTCAATAATTTTACATTATGGTGTTCTCTGCTATTTTAGTGATATGGATTTGCATACGAATATTGGTTAAACTATCTATTGATATACGTCATGCTGTTCCCGAGTGCTTTTTTTATGACTTTTTGTTTTATGGGCAATAGTTTTGCGTGTGGTCAATATCATTGCGTGCCTGCAAGCTGTGCTTCTGCATAAGAAATTCAGAATACCTGTCTCTGCTTTAAACAGTGGCAGGGCATAGAACATATCGTGTTGCTATTTGTTTTTAGTGGTACTGCAAGAAAAGTGTAGTTGGAGTAACGTGGTAATTTGACCTAGTTGGTACATCACTAATATTAATAATATAATATTAGTGATAAATAAATATAAATAATATAATATTAGACAATCAGATACGGATACTACAAGCATACAAGGAAGGTTCCTTTGTGTTCATCCCAGAGGGAATGTTCCAAGACAAAGCTAATGCGGCCGTTAACAAGAACTTTCGTCCAAAGCCTGTTTCTCCCAAAGAGGCTAAACGTAGACAGTGAACCTCTGTTCTACGATATCGTTGCCCCAACTGGCAGCCAACATCAAGAAAGCGGAGGGGTTGCACCTCCAGGTGTTTTCTGCCAAGACACATAAGGAGGCCTGTCCTTTCCGGGCTATTGCCACGGAGCGAGGTACCTGGCGGCGCCAAGTGGCTGCCTACGTCCAAAAGCACCTCTCCAGATTAAGCCTCTCGGATCCATTTCTGGTCCACAATCGTGAGGCAGCGGTGCCGTCACTGCGGTTTGAGAAATATGGTCATCATGAGATTTTAGTGTGGATGTTCAAGATCTCTTTCATTTCATCCCCCATCCACCTCTGCTCGCCATGGTTCAATCGTGTATTCAAAGCAACGGAGGGCTCGCATTTCGAAATGCTGCCGGCATCTCCATCGAGGACTTCCGAGAACTTTTAATTTACTATCTTATGTCAACGTACATCGGGTGGAAGGACGACCTTTACCTACAAAAGTCCGGTGTGTGTATTGGGTCGTGCATAGCCTTTGTTCTCAGCGAGATCTTCCTCTCCAGGGTTGATCGAACTAGCCATGATTCCCTCAGTACCCTGCCTGTACAAACAGTGTTTCGATATGTCGATGATTTTTTATTGTGTACGAGAAAGGGGTGGAAGGTCATGGTGTACATTAGGTAGTCGAAACCTTCGTTAAGTGCGGTTCGGGACTAAAGTTCACGTTTGAGGAACCCAAGGATGCGACCCTGCAGTTTTTGGATTTATCGCTATCGGCCCAAGCCAACCACTTATGCTGGTCCTACTTTCCCCAGTCAAAAAAATCCATTCTGTCCTACACATCCTCCCACCCCAAGATTGTGAAAAGGGGCATAGCCATGTCCATTCTAGGCTCGGTCTGGGAAAAATCATGTTTTCATACCGTGAAGGCCAGTTGTCGCTCTCAACTTGAACGCCTTTAGGCATCCGGTTACCCTCACGCAGTTTTAATAGACGTCCTGGGGTACTCGTTGAAGAAGGTTAAAGGGGATAGCAGCGGCATGCAAAATATACAAAAGAAGCGCCCGGTCGTAGTACCGTACCGGCATAAATTGTCTGACAATTTAAAGCAATTCGCTTTGTGTTCCCGTGGTGTTTTCGGCCCTTCTACGGTTATCCAAGATCTGCGCGAAAGAGGGGTTCGTCCTCGACAATTGTTTACGAGCTGTATGCCACAAGAGGCACAAGAACAAATTCGTTACCTGCACGGACGGTGTGGTCTACAATATCCTTCTGACGTGTGGTAGATGCTACATAAGACAGACTGAACGATGCGTCAACAACCGGCTTAGAGAACATTTCTATTCACTTCAAGCTACGATAGGCGGGCACTTGCCAACACACTGTCGCTCCTGCCAGTGCACACCGACTTTCGGTGAAACAACTGTTCTTGGGAGATTTCAAGACCGGACCACTCGAGAGATCTACGAGGCTTTTCAAATTCAAAAAACAGGACAGCAATGCGTCAGCCATCCGTCCCTGTCGCCGGGTGCTAAGGAGGTGTCTTTTTTGGCCAAGGCCTATGCGCAGTAACTTTGGCCGGCCAAGGGCGAAAGTACCGTTTTCTAATTTTCCCATTTATATCTCTTCCTTCCTTTTTCTTTTCTTTTTTTTTTTTTCTTAAATCTATCGATCTAGTCTGTACATATTTTCTTCCTCTTCTTTTTTTTTTTTTTTCTTTTTTTTTTGATACCTTGTTTTTACGAGGGTTCAATTTCCGTTGCTTCTTTTTCCTCCTTTTCTCTTCTTTCTAAATAAATCAGTTGGGAGTCAACGCTCCCAACTGCTGTCCTTTTCTCTTCCGCCGACGTTTTGTACGCTGTTTAATATTATTAATTAGAAATTATACTTTTTCACTTTTAATGTTCCACACTACCTGGGCCTGCCATAGCCTGAAGTGTATTGTAAATCAATTAATCAATAAATAGAAAATATGTGTTTAATTAACTGAATGGTATACCATGGCTTACGTGTGGATCCATGAACAAACTAATATTTGAGCAGAAGAAACGGTTATAAATAAACGTC